CATTGGTATCGGCCAACCCCCCCCCCCCCCCCCCTCCCCCCTTCCAGTAGTAAAGATGGCGCAGGCACTGTCAGAAGAGGAGTTCCATCGAATGCAGGTAAAATGCTTCTAATACGACAAAGTATCAAGTCGAATTGGGTCACATCGCGGTCCGGGTTGGTAATAAGAAGTAGGGCTCGCTGGGCATTCGGGTCATGAAGCTTTCGTTCGGAAGGCAGGGTCGAGAACAGTGCGGATGTTTTCGTAGGCCAAGGTTGCAGCCTCGGCGTCGAGTGGGCGATTGTGACCGAGTGTGATGGCGATGGGAGCCAGTCCACTCGGCGGGGAAGAGCCGGCAGAGAGACAGAGATGCGTGGGGAATAGGTAATGCAGAAAACAAATAAGCATATTAATCAGCCCATTGACAGGCTGGTTCACAATTCTGAATTGGGGACGTCTGAGCAGCTAGTCTTTTTGCAAACTAGCTGACATTGTTTTTTTTTTAGTGGAGCAGCACCGTCCTAGTCGTATTCTCCTTAATAAGTTGCCAGATTGTGAGTTTTGCTGGCCGGTTTCTAACACAATCCCTAAATCGGGACGGGGGGACTGTTTTTCCTGTAGTCGACCGCATCCTGTATTGAGGTCCTGAGTGATGGAGAGACCCGGGGCTCGCAGTCAGACCCCGGCGGTGGGTATCAGGTCGCCGTTCGGATGCAGAGCTCGACTCCTTGCTCTTCAGCCGCTGTGTTTATTTTGCTGTGTTGTGACATGACGTTGCGGTTTTGGCGGAGTGCGGCTGTGCCAGTTAGAGCCGGCGAAAAAACGCCGGGGGTCCTTCTGTGAGCACGTAAGCCCCCAGTCAGCTGTGACAGTTTGTAACTCTGCCAAGCCAGTGATCCGCACTTTCCTGGGTGAGTCAATAAAATCATAGCGCCTATGTGCCGCTGTTCTCGATGGCCAGCCCTGTCCAGCCCTGGATGTGGTGGATGCTAGATCCTTGCTCAGTGGCTCTTGGAGTAGGTGGGTTGTGTGGCTGTGGACTAGGTGGAAGGGATTGAGTCCGATCTTATGAGGAACCACCCCCAATATATTCTCAGACAAGGGGTCTATAAATATCGAGCGTGGAGCAGTGCCAGCTCCTGTCTGCTTCAGAGGGTTAATTCCACACTGGAAGGTAGTCCATTAACATTGTAGCACTAAACCGGAGTCCTTCCTGCTGGCTCTTGGTGTCGAGCGGTGTGTCACACAGGGCAACGAAGCCTTAATCCGCTAAACCTCAAACCTTAAACTTTGCTCGTCTGTGCTCGCCTGCTAACGAGGCCTGCCTTTGGGAGCAATGGCTACTCTTACTTCACTGCAGCTGATAATAATAAATAATAATCCTGACACATAGCGTTTTTCTGGACACTCCACTGACGGCGCTTTACAGGTAATGGGGATCCCCTCCACCCCCACCTGGATGATGCTCCAGTACTCTCCCCACACACCAGCTCTCAGTGGGGAGGAGAGCAGAGTGATGAAGCCAGTTCAGAGATGGGGGGTTGTTAGGAGGCCATGACTGGTAAAGGCCAGAGGGGAATTTGGCAGCACCCCTACTCTTTTTGAGAAACGCCCTGGAGTTTTTTTATGACCACAGTGTGTCAGTTTATATGGCTCATCCGAAGGACGGATCTTTTTTTACAGTATAGTGTTCCTGTCACTATACTGGGGCAATAGCACCCACACAGACTGCAGGGTGAGCGCCCCCTACTGGCCCCACTAACACCTCTTCCAGCAGCAGCCTTAGCTTTCCTAGGAGGTCTCCCCTCCAGGTACTGGCCAGGCTCTCACCTGCTGAGCTTCAGTGTCCACAGATGCTGGAATCTATGAGTCCACAGCAAGCAATACCTTTCTAGGATTGGAGTGCATCCACAAACATTTCAACTCCAAGGGACAGGAAAGTCCCTTTGGTCCAGCAAAGAAACACTTCGAATGCACATAAGCCAGAGAAACGGGGCTGAAAACTACACAAGGATCAGCAGTGCTGGGAACCACCTGCAAGAGTTCACATCTACATGCTAAGCGAGTTAAAGATGATATTAGTATATGCCAAACCGTGCTACTGTAGATAAATCCCCAGGACTGCTCATAAAGCAGCTCGGTGAGACCGTATTCAGATATCAGCCTGTAGGTTTCTGAAGGATTTGAAACCTCCTTGCAGACATAATCAGAATTCCATAGTTATGAAGTGGTGGACAGTGAATGGGATCATTGGAATGTCTGGTATTTTTTCCAGGGAAAGTGAAAGGAGTTGGTCAGTCACATGGTTGTCACATGAGAGATTCTTGCAAGCGGGGATTGTCATACATTGCAGAAATCAGTCCTGTCTGAGCTGTAACTCTGAGGCAAATTGCAGTGTGAAGACAAACGGACTTGGGAAAGCCATTTACCTGAAGTTATTAAAAAAATAATTTACAGTCTCTCTAAATAATAACGCATTGCAAATTTGCATTAAACAGTTAAGTATGTTCACTATAAATTCAACTGTTTTATGGGAATGATGTAAATTGATGTTGACTGAGGTGACTTAACACTTAAAATTGAACCACTGCTTGAAGGCTCTTAGAGATTTGACCGTCACTGTCCTGCAAAAAGTGAAGGAAACAGATTCCCTTAGTAAGAGAGAGGAGGTAACACATCTCTTCTTCCTCGTTGTTTGAGCTTCCATTTCTTTTTTATTTTGTGTCTTATTTATGGTTCTATCCTATATGATCTGAAATTCAAAGGGGATTTTTTTTACCCGATTGCAATAGCATGGTAACAAAAGAAAAATACAACAAAAGTTCTTCCCCTCTTCATTACGGTATAAATGTTCACATTGATATTGATAATACTTTTAAAACTGTTTTTATCGGTACAGTGGCACACACATTAGCGCTGCTGTGTCATAACTCTTAGATTTTACGTTTAATTTTAGCTGATGGTTCCTTCTGTGTGGAGTTTGCATGTTCTCCCCTGGGGCTCCAGTGGTTTGCCTCCACCTCTCGAAGACGAGCCAGTTGTGTTATACTAAAGTTCCCTTTCCACCCGGTCCAGGAGTGCAGCCCAGCCCTCGTGAAACCACTTTGCATGGAGTTGCTCTGCGCGAGCTGAACTGTCTTCTGCTGCATCTCTGTACACAAAAGTTGTTTTGTAGAACCTGAACCTGTGACCAATGATCAAAATGGTTTAAATGACTAGTAGCCCTTGATTAATGCTCTCATGTGCTCCTCTCCCCCTCTCCTCTCTCCCTCTCCTCTCTGCCCCTGACCCTCCCCCTCTCCTCTCTGCCCCTGACCCTCCCCCTCTCCTGCCCGTCTCTGCTCCGGTTGCTGTGCCTGACTGGATCCCCCACGTCCTCTCCTCTCTCCTGACCCAGGCTCAGCTCCTGGAGCTGAGGACACAGAACTACCAGCTCTCCGATGACCTGCGCAAGAACACAGCTGGTAAGAGACAATACGCGCAGCTGGGCTCTGTGGCCATGCAGAGGCATCAAAAGCTTAGTTGAGCCTGAGATTTTCTGAATTCCTCTGCGTAATTGTAAGTGGCTGGTTGGGACCTGTTCTGTAGATAAGCAAGTCATCATCCTGTCAGTTTTGAGGCTGCTTCTGCAGCATGGCTCTTTTAAACGAGCCTGACTGCTGCAGGGTGCGGCAAAAGACCAGAAGCCACATCACAGCTGTTTATGTATTATTAAACCCCAGAATTGGTCAGTGGTTTCCTTCTAGTAGCTTCCGAGTTTGAAAGTGGACGCTGTGAGTCTGCTGGTTTGGTTTGGTGCTGGGGCTGTGTGCGCCAATCCTGGATAATAATGTAGCCCAGAGTTTAACCAGCGCTGTCGGTGCCTTAGGTGTTTGACAGACAGGTGTCCCTTCAAGGTCATCTCTAGCCAAGGACTGAGGTGGTCAGTCCTGGTCCCAGAGGGATGGTGTGTCTGCAGGTTTTCAGTCCAGCTCAGCTCTTAATGAGCTCGGTTAGCTCCTTACTGACTTAATTGGACCAGTTTACCAGCTTCTCCCAGCTCTTCAGATGCTGGTGCTTGGCGGAGATCTAGAAAACCTGCAGACTCACTGAACGGCCCTTGGGGGCTTTTGTGTGCATGTCTAGAGTGCTCAGCATGTGTTTCGCCGAGTCTCCTGTGGTGTGAAGTAACGGGTCCTGAAGCGCTTGTTCCTCTGGTGTTGCAGAGCTCAATGCCCTGCGCCAGAAGACCTCCACCCTCGAGAAGGATCTCCTCAAAGCTCAGAAGGTAGGACAGAGTGTTCACTGCTTTTCCAGAGTCGTGTCAGTGAGAGGGTGGAGTCTGTTCACCAGCTCTCTCTTCTTCCCAATGCTGGTACTATATCTGCTCCTGTTGTTCTCCTGTCCCAGCCACCGCTGCTTAAACCCACCACTACTACTGTTGCCATTGATACCAGTGCACATTGTCACCCAACGAAATAGTATCGGAGGACAGGGTGGAATAGACAGGCTTAGTAGTCTCTTGCTCTCATCCTCAAGATGGAAGTGCAATTAAAACTGAGAGCAGGAGGCTCCTTTTTACACAAAGGGTTGTGGGATTGTGGAACAGGCTACCCGACCATATGGTTGAAGCAAATTCTTGGATCAGTTAGATGCTAACTAGCAAATGGGCCAGATGGGCTTACTGGTCACCTAGCGTTTCTAATTGTTCATATGTGCAGAATGAGAAAGGTCTTGTGCACCTGTACATGTGAGCATATGTATAGAGATTTGTCTGTATCGAGGTTTGAATCTCATAGGTTAATTTTGTTTTGCAGGCTCTTGGCAAGAGTAAGAAAGCTCAGGTGAGTCTGTTCGTGAGTTGCAGGATGACGATTTCTGAGTCTTTCCACACGCGGCTTGGGCTGGTTTAAATAGGAAAAAATCGGGGGAAAAAATTAGCTGTTAAGCGGAATAAACCACTTAGTAAGACTTTGAGCCTTTTTATTCTCCAGTGGATGCAAAGAAGGTATCTTTATTTTGACAGCTGCACACACTAGTTAAATTAAGAACTTAATAGGTTAATTAATGAACAGTTTATCAATGTTTAGCTTAAGTCCTAGTAATTCTAATTTTAACAATTGCTAACATTTGACCTTTACAGTGTGCATTTTCCAAAACAAGGAGTGCAAAACAATTGTGCAAAGTAATTGATGTTTACACAATCTAGATAGATGAAACCTGCTCAAGACATTTTGGGTCTGATTGTGCAGGTTGGAGAACCATTTTAACAAGAGTAGAAACAAGACTTCCATAGCAGACTCGTGTATTCTTTTTAATTCAGGCGTTGACAACACAGGGGCTTTGTGTGTATTGGCAAAACAAGCTGACGAGCCAGGCTCTGTAGGAGCTCAAGTTGTCGGGGGCTGGGAATCTGACTCCTGTGTCCTGTGTCTGTGGGCAGGAAGTGGACGCCCTCCTCAGTGAGAATGAGATGCTCCAAGGCAAACTGCACAGCCAGGAGGACGACTTCAGGCTGCAGAACAGCACCCTCATGCAGGAGCTCTCCAAGGTGCTGAACTCTCCTGCAGCCCACACCTGCAGTAGCTGAAGCTGAGCTGCTCTTTCATACCCAGTAGGACAGAATTTTTTATTGCCACACAGCAAGACCTGGCGGAAATTGCTTTAGATAAAGCTAGAAAACTTGGAGAAGCAGACATATAGCACAATATTGAACTACAAATATAAATGAAAAGACAAACAAAGCACAGTCATAGTCGCTTATATGTAAGCGTTAAACTTACCGTCATGCTGATGCCTTTTGTGCTAAACAGTCCAAGTGGACATGCCCTCTAGCTGTTAATTCATTATTTAAGCTGTTTATTTCTTTCATGTCATCGCCAGCATACATACAGTGTTAGTCTTCTTTTATGCTGAAATTTTGGTTTCACCTTTGGGTTTAATTACTTTCATGTCTTTGATATTCCACTTGTTAAACCTAAGTAAACCCGCTTTTGCCCACAGGGAGTTTTAAATACATCTGTGTGTATTGTAGTACCTTCTGTTCCTCTGTCAGCGCTGCTTTTTTCATGAAAGGAAACCAGAGGCTGAAACTAGAACAAATAAACACAGCCGGCATTAAAGAGTAGGAAGCATGAGAGGTTCAGTCACGGATATCTTGTTTTCCTGAAAAGGGCATTTACGTGTATGTTTGTGCTGACTGCTTTGCTCACCATGCAGCTTGTGAAGAGGTTTTTAATCTCCCTGTCGAGAAGGCGACAAGAGAAAACATGATTTGCTTTGCGTCTGTCTGATTAAGACATATACACGCTGGTGTTTGCAACATTAACGTTCTTCCTTTGTGACTTCCTGTCAGCCCCCGCTGCCTGGGCAGTGTGTGGGCTGTTGTGTAAAAGCCCTCTCGGGGCTGGAGACGCTCAGGCACGCTCATGCTCAAGTAGCTCTGGCCAGCGAGTGGGTACACACGATCACCGTGATGTTTTCGTTTTTCATTTTTTAATGAGAACTGATAAATACGGCCAGCAAACACAGGTCCTGGAGGGGAGAAACTGAAAGACTGGAGACGACATGGATGTTAACGAAGGAGGTTTTTCAGAACAATCTTAGCCTTATTTTCATCACATAAACATAAATGTGCTGTCATCAAGCACAAACTCTATTTGCGGGGTTGAGATCAATTCAAATCCAAGGCTGTAGCTGTAGCGTTTTGTAGTCTAGGTGTTGGTGGGCCAGTAGGTGGCTCCTTTGGACTGGAATTTCCTGACCAGTGACCCAGGGTAGTGACAGGGGCAGTGTGCTGCAGGAAGGGCCATCTTTCAGAGGTTAACAGGAGGAACTGGTTACTTGGTCATTAAAGATCTGGCACTGTTCAAAAGTGTAGGGCTTAACCCCAGTGTCTTGGCTAACTTCCACTTTGGGCTTGTGCAGTTGCAGTATGTCTTCCTTAGAGTATCCTCTTGAGTCAGCTGGTGCACCTTCTCCTCCTGTCTTGCTGTGTAGTGGGGCTGCTGGTGCAGACTCACCCAGCTGTTCTTCATCACGTTTCTGTGGATCAACCTATATGTTTATGCGTAAATGCTAATTTTGAAAAGTCTTTAAATTCTTGCTTGAATTCATTTCTGTGCTTCATTACTAGCTGAAAAGGTTATTTATGCATTCAGCTTCATTTAAGTTATTGGATTTCATGATGTTGGACTAAGAAACAGAATTGACATAATGTTTACAAGTCTTGCACATCAGCAGCAGGTAAGAAAGCTGGTAATCAGGGCTCTTGTAATGCCTTCAAGCCGTGGGACTCTGAGACACTGAAGCTGATGTTGTCCCCTCCAGCTGTGCTCCCAGATCGAACAGCTGGAACAGGAGAACCAGCAGCTGAGGGAGGGGCAAGGGGTGGAGCCAGCAGCCCCAGGCTCCGCCTGTAGCCCCGTGGATGGAGAGTTACTCCGCCTCCAGGCTGAGAACTCCGCCTTGCAGAAGAAGATGGCAGGTGAGCACAGCGAAGGGGGAGCCCAAGGTTGGGGTGCACAGTTTCTGGAACCACTAGGCACGGTATAAGACAGGAAGTTTCCAGCATGCGTAGTGCAGTGGAGGGTTGGCTTCTAGCAGGCATTTCATGAATTTGCTTGCACATGTTCTATTCTCTGCCCTCCCTCTTCAGCCCTGCTGCAGCACCGTGAGCGGGAGGAGCAGAGCCAGGCGGGGGCCGAGGTCAATGGGCTCAGGCCCGCAGCGCCGGGCTGTGTGGAGCAGGACCCGGGCCAGGCGGATGCGGGCGGGGGGGGAGCCGGCACGCCAGAGAGGGCGCCGAACGAGCGGATCGAGCAGGTGGGCTGATCCGGTCCTGGTCCAGCTCCGCTTCGCGTTGCAGTGTGTTATCCTGAGCGCACTGTCTGTGCACAGAGCTGCACGCATTTCTCATGAGAAGTTTGTGTTTGCTGTGGTGTCTTCTGATTGTGCAAAGAAATCCCAACCTCTTGAACTTAGAATCTTGGGAGCTGCCAGAAGAGACAAAGTATTGAAGATCTGGATATAGATGGAGCATAGAATATATATGCAGATTTAAGTATATGAGTGCTAGTATTGCTATATGAGTAATTAGTCTTGTGTACCACTTCTGTAGCTGGAAATAATGAGCTTTTCAATTCATATCGCAGGCCGAGGCAAAATGTGCCAAACTTGAACAGCGAGTGAAGGAGTTAGGAGGTGAGTCGGGGAGTTTTATTTTGTTATAAAGGGTTTTGCTCTCTGAGGGAAGTGTTTTTGTGGGCTCCAACTGCTGTAATTACAGTCGGAGAATAAAATCATCCAGTACTTCTGATAGCACCCTATTTTAGAAATGGGGATCATCCCTATTGCAGCTCTAGGGGTGCACGGTTTTGAGAGTCTCCCAACATTTAAAGGGAAGAAGCATGTTTTGCTTTTACTTTTTTCATTCTAATGGGACCAGCTACTGAAGACTAACCTGTGCAATAGTGTAATATTTTACAGAACCTTACACTTCAATTGGCAGTGTTGTCTTCCACAGAAATAGTTTTCAAGTTGCATATACATGCGGTTAAAAGGTGTTTTAAATATCACTAGTGTAAAGAATTAAAGAAGAAAATCCATAAAAAAATGTTTAAATAAGCAAACCTTTCTTTCCGTTTCCATCGTAAATGTCCTGTGACAGTACTGTTTTTAGTTAGTCCAGTACGCAACAGTGGTTGCGGAGTCATTTAAAAGTTGGCTTCGATTTTGTTCTTAAAGTCTATTTAGAAAACTACTGTTGTGGAATCCTGGAGGTTTATAAGAGGAGTTATATACTAGAGAAGGCTATTCGGCCCAGTAAGCCTGTTAGTAGCAAATTCATCCAGGGATCCAGCACATCTACAGTGGTATCAAAAGCATGCACACCCTTATTCAAATTTCAGCTTTTGTTGACGTAAAAGCTGAAATCAAGACAAATCGCGCCAGATTTTTTATCACCTTTAATAAGATCTTGTAACCGATAATATTTAAATGAAAAACAAATGGATAATTTTTAGGCACAATAGCTAAAAAAACTTTTAAATACCTTTGTTGCATAAGTGTGCACACCCTTTGCAATGGGGGTTGTAACTGTGTTCAGATTGAACCAGTCACATTCCAGATCATGTACAGAGGTAATTTACCTTCACTTGACATCACTGGACGTGATTCTGATTAGCCCTAAATAAAATCAGCTGTTCATATAATATTCCGCTGTTTATTGTGTCTGCTACCTGCCACTATGTATGCAGCAGTAGGCCAGTTTGAAATGAGGAGCTGGAAGTGTGCACATTGGCGTGCACATGCTCGAGCGGTGTTGCACAGAGTCAGGTTGGCCGGCCTCACCAAATGCTGTTTTGACAGAGGTGGAACTCCAGCTGCACACGGAGCAGGAGGAGAAGAGGCTGCTGAAGGCGCAGCTCCAGACTCTTGAGGTAATACCATGGTGATGTACCGGGTTACGTGCGCTAGCATCTGCTGTGGGCTCTATCGTAGGCCTGTTGTGCTCGCAGGCGCTGCAGTCTCCTGTGTGAGAGCATGCTGCAGCTGCAGTGCTGGACAAGGTTATTGCACTGTTCTTATCTGTACCATTATGGTTGTGTCCAAACCTCTGGTTTTTAATCACAGAGTTGGGGTGCTTCTCCAGCCCTGGTTTAGGGTGCCTTAAAGTACTGAGGAGTAACATCAGGATATTGAGAGGATCGGGGCACAGCTGACCATCCCAGACTATCTGGGGAGTGTCGGGGAGCAAGGTCTTTTTCTTGAGACAGCTGCAGGAACTTGGTGAATCGATAGAGCAAGCGAGAGAGTTTCAGTTTTCTCACCTGGGTTTACACCCTGGGCTCCCTGTTCTTTTCCCCCTGGGGGCAGAGGGGGTTCTCCCAGAAGGCTGTGTGATGCCCTCCAATGTGTGAGTGTTTGTCCCCCCCTGCTCTCCGATGCAGAGACTGAAGGGAAGTGGGAATTCTGTCCACACCTGTTCCTCTAAGGAGCTACATCAAAAGTTCATTGTTCGACAACTGACTGGTTTTCATCTTTTTCACTTAGTCATCCAAACAGGCAGACCTGACCAAACTGCAGGAAGACCTTACTAAGGTACCTCGGAGTCCCTGATCTTATTATATTTTATTTCATTGTGATGAAAATGGAATGTAAAGCATGTGTGTGTGTCTTTCAGCTGCGCTCATTCTTTCCATGGGTTTTGTGGCACAGCTTCCTCTAAACGTAAAGTTTTTAGATGTCAGTTTATTGGATTTGGATTGAATATAACCATTCATAAACTGGAAGTCAAAATGTGTACATTACATACTAGCAGAAATACTGTCCGTGTGTTTTTTATTAGTTTGTGTATCTGTATTTTGTCTTTCTTAAATTATCATATCTTCAGCACACCTGAGTCCTTTAATCAATTTATTCTCTTTGAAGTTAGTTTTTCAACTTGCACTGTCTCTTATCTGTCTCGCGCTGTACTATTGACAGTTCTCTACAGTAAGATTCCTCTGTAACAAGGCGTTTTAACAGCCGTTGTTAACTGTAAAGTGAAGTTGTTTTAAAAATCCGTTTGTTGTTACCACTGTGATGAACCGTGTTCATTTTCCCTGTTCTCCTATCGTTCTAGCTTTCTGACAAACTGAAGAAAAAGCAGGAAAGGTAAGGAGGGACAGCAGCATACTCCTGTCTGGGTATGGCATGAGCTCACCGAGCGCAGGTGGGCAGTGCGGGCGAAGACAGGTGGGCAGTGCGGGCGAAGACAGGTGGGCGGCGCAGGTGGACAGTGCGGGCGAAGACAGGTGGGCAGTGCAGGTGGGCAGTGCGGGCGAAGACAGGTGGGCAGTGCGGGCGAAGACAGGTGGGCGGCGCAGGTGGGCAGTGCGGGCGAAGACAGGTGGGCGGCGCAGGTGGGCAGTGCGGGCGAAGA